AACGTTAGCAATGGAGTCAGTTTGGTCTCCACACAGGCTTGCCTTGAGCTCAATATGTAGCCCAGGCTGGCCTCAAACTCTCGGGAATCCTCCTGACTGCTGGGATTACTGGCATGCACCACCACACCTCACTGTTTTGTTTCACTTTTCAGTGAGTTTCAGGATTACAGGAAGCAAGTTTAGAGCCTGGAGAAGCCCTGCCCAGCCAGCCCCTATCCTTGGTACTGACCCGAGGCCTGTGTGATCAGCACCGGAGCAGGAGACATTGTGCTGCTCCTAGAGCCCAGGCCTCTTGGCCCCTTAGTGCTGTGCACCTGGTCCGGGAGGCCCCGCCCACCCACGATGTCACAGGAAGCAGTGCCTGACCTAACCCTGCGCCCTCCCCACCCTGCAGATGTTCCTGCCAACCTTCACCCTCTCCAGTGGTCAACAGAGCCGCCAGGAACCCGCTGGCCCCCTGACCACTGTCTCTGTCCCTGCAGGCCTCGCCAAGCCCATCGGCCTGGTGGAGGGGCCAGGTGGCTTGGGCCAAGGAGGCGTGGCGGCTGCCCTGCGCGATGACAGCCCTGAGGCTGAGGGCCACTATGAGGAGTACGGCTACAATGCCCAGCTCAGCGACCGCATCTCGCTGGACAGGACCATCCCTGACTACCGACCCAAGAGGTGAGTGCAGGACAGGCACTGCCATGGCTCTGAGAAGGATACTGGGAGTGTGGGGGGCACCAGGCCCTGCCATGGAGCCACCTGGCTCTGTGGTCAAGCCTCTCCACCCGAGTCTCTGTGTGTCTCCCCCTGCATCTGTCTCCCTCTCTCTCTCTCTCTCTCTGTCTCTGTCTCTGTCTTTCTCTGTCTGTCTCTCTCTCTCTCTCTCTGGCTCGAATCTCTGCTACTGGCCATGACTGTCCACCTTAGCACCCAGCCACAGGGTCGACCCCACTTCCCTTCTACCCAGATGCTGGGCCTGTCCCTGCCCAGCACGTTGGTTCCTGGCCCTCAGGCTGGGGGTGTACTTTGTTTAATGACAGCCGTGCTGCATCTGAAAGGCACTGCGTCCCCATCAGGCTGTGGCCTTCTTGTTCCACAATCCCAAAGCCCTGGTGGCAGAGGATCTGAGCAGCCTTGTCCCTGGAGACCACGGCTGGGCCCCACAAGGCTGAGGGTAGAGTCCAGACTCTGATCAGAAGCTCCCAGGGCACCTGACAGGACAGTCACCAGTGCCCTCAGGGGCCCTGTGCTTGGGCGGCAAGTGGCTGCCACCCAGCAGCTTCCTCCCAAATGCCTCCTGCTCCCCATGCTCACAGGTTCACCACTTGTCTTGGAAAAGGGCTGGGCTGGAAAGAACGAGCTCTCCCTATGTGGCCTCAGCCTGTGCAATGGGCTCTCATGTGACCCTGCTGTGGCTTCTCCCAGAGCGGGGGGCTTCTGTGGTGACCCCCAGCTTCTGTGCTGGTGAAGCATGTAGAGAGTGAACGGTATAGAGGAACACAAGGACACAGGCACTGCCTCCTGACAGGGCTGGCAGGACTCTAGAAGTCACACGTGTGAGTCCATCTCTGGAAAATGTGTTCTGCTCATGGTATGAGGAGAGGGGAGACTGCAAAGCAGATGGTCTGGGGCACAGAAGCTGCCATGGCCAGGGCCAGGCCCAGCCAGCTACCAGGCTCCTGAATAAAGGCTATGGGGTGGCAGCCATGCCTCTTGCCAGCAATTAACCATATGGTGAAGCCATGGGCCTCACACCTCAGTGCTTACCACCTGCCATTTTCACTGGGCCAGAATTACATCACATGCTGGTTCCTAAACCAGACTCTGCTGGGGAAGTGGGCGGGAGCCTGGCTCTGGAGCCCAGGGCTCAGCAGTTCAGTCCTGGAAGAGACAGCCAGCAGGGCAGTGGTGTGTGCCACCCCCACCGTGGGGCTGAGTACCAGAGACCGAGGCACAGAGGGGTACCGGAATGCTCTCCTGGCCTGGACACTTAGGGGCCTGACAGCCCCATTCAGTCTCGTGTGTCCAAAGATGCAGCCGAGTGGGGGGTGCTGGGCTTCTGGGGTCTTACCTCCCATGGGCCCTTGTGGTCTCCAGCATGGCTCCAGGGAGCCAGTGTCTTAGCTCTGAACTCAGCTGAAGTCCAGTCTGTGTGGCCCAGCTGACCCTGGCCTCAGCCACTGTGTTCTCTGCTTGGGGAGGCACCACACTGAGCTCAGGCTGAGGTCACAGTACCACGCGTCAGCATCTGCCCAGGGAAGGGAAGGGGGTGGCCATGTCTCTGCCCCTCAGAAGTCCTGAGGACAGCAACAGGGGTGCACTGGAGCCAGCTGCCCCTGGCTGAGCCATAGCCACACCTGCAGACTGGTTCAGCCTTAGGGCACCAGGACCCAACAGAGGCCCCAGCCCTGCCTGCTGCCATCCTGTCAGTTGCCCGCTTCCTGCCTCAGACAGGCAGGCTGGTCACAATCTCACCCTGCACACCCTGGCTCTCAAGGTGAACAGCTTAGTAACCCAGGTCCCGAGTGGGTCCTGGGACAGAGTAAGGATGGGGGATTGGAAGAGGAGCATGGACAGCCCTGGATGAATCACTCAGTGTCACTGTGGGCTTGACAGCTATGACACACACCCGGTGAGAATCACTTGCTGTGGGGAGCCAGGCACTGGCTGTGCTGCATGTGGTTTCCCTGTGACTGCTCTGCAGTTCTTTTAAAATGGAGAGTGTGCTTCTTAGGAAATGTGAAGGAGCCATGGTCTCTGGACGAGCTCCACACACAAGGAAACAAGCCTCAGAGTGGCCTCAGGGTCTGGTGGAACAGGCTCCACTTCACACGGGGTGCAGGAAGGCTGTGGGCCAGGTGGCGAGGGGACAGACCCAGCACCAGACCCTTGCGGAGAGGCCTGGGTGTCCATGTGGAGCCCCAGGGATGTCCCCTCCCGATGTGGTCTGTGCCTCCACTTCTGGCTGGCCAGCCTGCAGTGCCCTCGAGCTACACAGACCCCAGCTGCAGAGATGGTTCCAGGAGGTGCTCTGCTCTGGGCACCGAGGTCCCCTGGATAGCCTGTCCTGAGCAGACACCTGGGAGCCCCAGGGTCCTTGGGCAGAGGTGGCAGTGGCATCAGGTGACCCTGTGACCGCCTCTTGGGCATAGACAACCTCGCTGCATCCCGGAAGATTACAACGCTCGCAGCTGAGCTCAGCCTGTGCCCCCGCTCCTCCATCCTCACCGCGCCATATGGAGGGCATCTCCTGGCCCTCTCGATCACAGCCCTCCCCAGCTTCAGCCCAGGTCCTTCAGGTTCCCCCACCCTGAGCAGTTCTGGCCACAGTGCCACGCCGCCGTCAAGCAGCGGTGTTGCAGGCCTCCTGCATAAGCTCAGCCACCAGGCTCAGGTGAGAGCCTCAGGAACTTGAGGTTGCGAGGAGGGTGGGCAAGGGCTGCAGGGGAGAAGCCTCTGTCCCCAAGTGACAGCGGGTCCCAGGAAGGAGCCGCAGAGGGAGGGGCGCTGGGGCACTTGGGGGTTTACACTTCTTTCCAAAACAGGCCCCTGTCGTGTTGTCACACTTGACATGTATTTGATCACATGATTTTCTGTTTGCTCAACCCTAAACACAGTTTTTTAAACCTAGAGGGGCCTTGCGCTATTGATAAGAGAGGTTCTTTTTAATGCTAAGCAGCTCAGGGCAAAAAATGAGCAACATATATTGCATGACTTGTAATTTAAAATATACTCGTGAACTACAGGAGTTCAGCATGAGTGCACTTTGTTTAAAGGGACGCTAAACAGTACGGTAGGATAGAGCCGAGTGGGGGAGTCAGGAGAAAGGGTGCGGGGCGCACGGGGCCAGGAGGCTGGGCCAGTGCAGGACTTCTAGGGAGAACCCTGCCCTGAAGAGCAGGTGCCCCAGTGACAGACCCACTGTTCATTTGCATGCCACCTGCCCTCCCCTTGGCCCTGCGGACTGCATCACTGTCCTCTGTGTGTGTGTGTGTGTGTGTGTGTGTGTGTCCCAAAGACTGGCTACCTTCCCCCTTCTTTCTTCCCCTTCCTCCTCCCTAATGGAATCCAGAACTTGGGTGGCCCAAGCCAGCATGGAGACATTTCCCGCTGTACCTCACAGGAGGGCCTGGGGACATGCCTCCTTCCTGCCCCTCCGCTTCCTGCTGGCTGGACCAGAGTGCGGTGGATTCTGCACTGGGCCCTGGGCCATAGGCCCCACACGCAGCCTCCCAGGACACTTCTCGGGTGTCCCCGCCCCTGACGCAGGTGTCTGCAGGCACTGGCCATGCCGATGGGCATGGGGAGCCCTGAGCCACCTGGAGTGGCCCCTCAGTGACACATCCCCACTGCTCATCTTCTGTCACACGTGCAATTATCGCCACGATGATTCCACAGCAACAGTTCCGTGTGACCAGGAGCACTTTAACACAGGCCATTAAGCTGTCAGTATAAACAGATGAGAGCAATCTCAGAGTTGGAATTTCTTGGGGCCATAAAAACCTCCCAGCACAGCTTTGTTTAAAGAAGTAGTTCTTAAGATATCATAGGAAATGTTTCTCAAAAGAATTTGCTCTCAGAGAATTTCTAGAATATTTCCAATGTGCTTGGCTGGAAAGAATCCGCTGTGGGCTGAGAGGAGCCACTTCTTGTGGAAGCTGCTTCTTTGTCCCTTTAACCATCGGGTGCTGAAACATTTTCCCCATTTGATCACCTTATCCCTGCCAGAGATGCCCCAGGGCCCAGGGCCCAGGGCCCTGGCTGCTGCAGGATGCGGGGCCTTGCAGGAGTGGGGCCTGGCAGTCATGTCTGCTGCAGGGGCCATGGCGGCCTGGGCTGTGAAGTCTCGCAGTTCTGTTGTTGTGCTCTCACTTGTGTGTCTGGTGCAGAGTGCTGGAGCTCACGTGGAGGCACCGGCACATGCACAGCTCATCCTGATCGTGTTCCATCCACGACTCATGTGTGTGTTGTGGGCCTGGCCATCAGCCTGCCGAGCTGGGGTCATGTGTGTCCCATCCAGGTCAGAGGTAAACGGCCCTTGGATGGGCCAGGGACCGTGAAGGAAAGACGGAGTGGAGGGAAACTTTGGTGCTGGCTTCCAGACCCATTTAAAGCCCCTTGTCAGCAGGCTGCTCATCTGCATGGTCTCCCCAAGCCCTCTTGTCAAAAGCACTTTTCTTACTGGTGACATCTCCCTCGCGTATTAGTGTAAAAGCTGAGGATGGCAGTTTTCCCTTTCACAGACAAGCAGGAGACTCCACTGCAGCCAGGCCCTGAGCAGACATCGAAGCCAGCGGCCTCCTTGTGACCTGGCTCCTAGTTCCCTCCAGGACTTCTTCATGTGTCGGGCTTGGAGCCACTTCATCTCCCTCAGAACCCACCATCCTGCCTCTGCCTGGGCAATGCCCATGCTGCCTCCGTGTCAGGGCCAGGGCTTCACTGTTGTCCATTTCCACTTCACAGTGATTCCTGCCTCTTGTAACACACTGTGCTGTGCCTGTCACGACAGGAATGCAGGTCACACTTATCTGACATGGCTGAACAGCTCTGCCATTTCTAGGGAGCTTCCGTCTCCTTAGGGGACCCAGCAGCCCCCTCCCCACCTGGTCAGTCCCTTGGTGCTGCTTCCTCCTCTGCCCAAGGCTTTTGCCTGTGGTCCTCAGCTGTTGAATCCTCAATGCCGCCTTTGCTTCCGTCCTCACCTCAGCCACAGAACTCACTCACCCCCTGGATGTCCCGAGTGCAGCTCTGGATCCCTCCAAGGCCCTGCACTCCTCCCACGCCAGCGTCCCTGTCCTAGCCCATCTGGTTCTCAGGTTTGCCCGAGGCCTGGCTACTCTTTCTACCTGCACCCTGACATCTCCTGGACCTCTGTCCCCTGCCCTCTGCCATTGTCCACTCGGGGGCAGTCCCAGGGACAAGGCCACCATGTTGCTCTGGCTTCCAGCAGTCTCAAGGGCACGGCATGGCACTGGGACTCCTGGAGGCTGTGGTTGCATAGGTTGCATTTTCTTGGGACCTAGAGCCTCCTGGTGGCCTCCTGGGGACCTCACTGACTGCCACCCATAGGTGCCGGCAGATGACTTATGCTGAGGACCTGCCACAGGTCTCCGTGGTCTTCATCTTTGTCAACGAGGCCCTGTCAGTCATCCTGCGCTCCGTGCACAGCGTCGTCAACCACACACCCTCGCGGCTCCTCAAGGAGGTCATCCTGGTGGACGACAACAGTGACAACAGTAAGGAAGTGGCAAGGACATGGTCGGGGCCTCCTCACCCCTCCTAAAAGCAACTGTAGATGCCCAGGGCCAGCGTAGCCCACCCTCTCCATGCTGCATGTCCATGCTTTGCATACAACCACATGAGCACATTAAGCACTTCTAAGTGCTGGTACGTCCCTGTGACCCCCGGACTCACGTGCGTCCAGACTGAGACACCATCCCGCTAAGCACCAACCCCGGTCCCTGCCCACATGACCCCACTTCTCCCATGGGTACTCACGGGCCCTGGAGTGTACTCGGATTGTGCTGGTCTGCAGTGACCTTCGACCGCCCAGTGATGTCACCAGGCACAGTCAGAGGCTGCTGTCAACACCTTGGCCCTGCTCTCGTCTCCCCAGCGGGTGCGATCTGTCCAGGCCCCATGTCCCCCTTGCCTCTTTCTGTGTGCTGTTTTCTCACTCTGTCCCTCTTCCACTGGAATGGTGGCTTCAGGGCCGGCTCCTGACCCCCAGAACAGGAATCGGGTCCTTGCAGAATGTTCCTGCAGCACTGACCTGGTGCTCGTGTCCCCGCAGCGGACCTCAAGTTCAGCCTGGACCAGTATGTGCACAGGCGGTACCCTGGGCTGGTCAAGGTTGTGCGCAACGGCCGGCGGGAGGGCCTGATTCGCGCGCGGCTGCAGGGCTGGAAGGCAGCCACTGCGCCTGTCGTCGGATTCTTCGATGCCCACGTGGAGTTCAACACCGGCTGGTGAGGGAGCCTGGCAGCCAGGCCTGCAGGCGCCAGGTGGGACAAAGGCCGGTGGGCTGTGGGTGGAGGGCGGAGCCAGGGCCCTGGGCAGGCATGGCTGGCAGGAGGGGCCAGGTGGGAGGCAGCTGTGCTGCCATGGCAAACACTGGGTTGGAGCCCATGCCTCTTCCCAGGCTGGAGAAACTGGAGACACAGGGCACCCAGGGCACTCGGCAGGGACCAGGGCGGGAGATGGCAGGGACACCATGTGACCTGTCCAGCCTAGACCAGTGGACATTCAGATTCACCAGCGCCTTGGTCTTGTGCCACACCCAACAAGGTTCGCAAGCTGAGGAGCCCCATGGCGCTGTCCAGGGAGCCGGCACTGGGTCACCATCTCTATGTCCAAGACTGAGGACAGTCCCCGTGGGTCCTGGGGCCCCTGGGGTGCTGCTTTAGGTAGCCACATCCTCTGGTTGGCCCTGGCTTGGCGTCCTTGGCTCGGCCCCCACCCACCTCACACAGCCCCGAGTTCTCAGCCACCACAACCCCACTCTGTTCTGAGGGTTGGGTCTACCTGGCAAGTTTCTGGCAGAGACTCACTTCTCTCTGCTCTGAGTTCCTGTACACCCCAGTCTCCCTCCTCCTGAAGTGAGGGACTCTGCTTTTCTATGACTGATACCCCTAACACACCGCATCTACAACTCTATGTCATTGTCTGCTCCTCCAGGGTCACCCACACTGCTGAGTGCGCTGCTCACTGCACAACAGGACCTGATAGGCTTTCTGCCCCTCCAATGTGTCATCAGTTTTCTGGGGCCTGACACATGCTCCTGAGCTGCGTCTGTCCCCACAAAATGTGATTTTGAGCCAGTGTCACTTTAACCATCAGGACTGCAAACTCAGCCATCTGTCTGCCAGTCCCGGCCCCAGCCCTGGCCTTTGAAGGCCCCTTGCTGCCTGCAGGTAGACAACTGAGCCTTCTGGCCCAGCACTCGGGTGCACAGGGGCATGTCCTCCCCACTCAGCCCCCAGGGGCCAGCCCAGCCCCATCCCCTCGGCAGCCCTGGGCCTCACAGTCCTCATACGGTCCTGAGGAGATGTCTCCTCTGCCAGCTGCTCCTGGGCACTTAGTACACTGGCCACATCCCCACCCCAGATCTTCCCACATCTCATCCTGGGCTAGCACAGCCACACTGGATGCCTGTGCCTGTCTGTGTCTCCAGGTCCTACACTACCATGTATTCCCCAAAGCACTTGTACCTCCATACTACTCCTGCTCTTCCAGGGCCTGCTGTGCAGGTTGTGCACTGCACAGTGCTCCACAGGCCCTCTCTCCAGTACACAGTAGCTCCCTGAGGCGTCGAGTTTTTTCTATTTAGTTCACAAATGTATTCCCATGTGTGAGGGCAGAGCAGGGCTCATGCAGGTCTTCAATCGGTGCTTGCAATGGGTGAACCTCCCAGAGGTGAGGAAGGAGAGGGGACCAGGATTAGGCTGAGGTGCTGCACTGCATTGCCAGGGACTCGAGCCCAGGCAGCCATGCAGAGCTGTCGCCGCCCAGGTGGGCTGGCGAGCATCACAGTGTACAGTCCACAGTCAGGGCATCCGCGGCGTGGGGTGGGGGTTGGACCCCGCAGCCTGCTCACACCCCGACCCTGCAGGGCCGAGCCCGCCCTGGCACGGATCCGCG